CACCTCCCCCCAGCCCAGGTTGCTCCAAGCCCCGTCCAACCTGGCCTTGAACACCTCCAGGGATGGGGCAGCCACAGCTTCTCGGGGCAACCTGCCCCAGGGGATCACCACCCGCACAGGGAAAAATTTCTTTCTCTTATCTCATCTCAATCTCCCCCCTTCCACTTTGAGGCCATTCCCCTTCGTCCCATCACTCCATGCCCTTGGAAAAAGTCCCTCCCCAGCTCTCCTGGAGGCCCTTTAGGCACTGGAAGGCCACAGACATCCCCTTGCCCTGCTTGCCGCTCTGCCTCATCCTGCGCACCGGTGAGGCCCACCAGCACTGGGAAGCACAGCCAGCAACCAGTGCTCTGCTACCGGCCAGAACAGGAGGGACTGGGGCAGGGATGCCACGTCTCTCCATATGGGAGAGCACCAGGATGCTCCTGGTCCCACAGGAGGAGTCCCCATCAGGTTGAAGGCTGCAGTAACCCTCCCAACGAAGCACACGGGCAGGATGTGTCTGGATGTGCGCACACAATACCCGTGGGCACAGGACACGCTCGGTCACTGCGCCCCCCCGGCCCTGCCCACCGGCCTGCCTAATTCGGCCTTATTTGGAGACGCCTGAGCTGATCCCCAAACCTTTTATTAAGAATGTTCTTGGAAGGCGCCCAGCTAATCCCCGTGGCAAGCTGACATTTGTAGTAAATCTCTGCTCTCTGTCAAACATGATTTTCCCAGTGACATTTATGTCTGATGACTTCAAATCGCCTGGCCTCCAGTTCTGCTCAGCCCGAGCACCCACAAAGCTGGGAGAGGTGCGCTGGGAGCTCTGACTCGCGACTTTACGGAAAGCTTTAAAATCTTTATGACTGTAAGCCTCTACTTGAAACACGCCCTCCTCTTGAAAACCCAAAATAGCGTGGAAGGAGATTCCCTTTGCAGCGGCAGCATTATCATGCCAAGGGCTCCCAGCCTGGCGTCGAATCCCGTGCCCCTCTGGCCCCCGGCACGTGCAGGGAGTGCTGCGGTGCCTGCCCGTGCCCGCGGAGCGCAGCGGGGGCCCTGCTGGGCAGCTCTGCTCCGCTCCCCGCAGCGGTCTGAGCCATCTCGCTGAGTGGCGTGGGAGCGGGCTGGCAGTCAGGAGGGCAAGTGATGCACTTTGTACGTGTTGGTCCCACAAGAAAAAGAAGGCAGGGCACAGTAGGGAGGGCTGGGCAGAGCCTCCCCCTGCCCCTCGCCCTCCCTTTGGCATCCCGGTACTGCCTGTATCCCATTCAGCCCAAAAACTAAGCTAAAGTTTCCAGCGCATGGATGTCCCGAGGCGTTCCTACCCCCGAACGAACCGGCTCGTGACGGTGTTGTGTGTCACTCTGAGCTGCATGTGGCCGCGTGCTGCTGTGGCATCGCTCCCTGCGACTTTGCTCCAGAGGAGCTCAGGAGCTGTCTTGGGAGCGATTAACTACTGCAGTGGATGGGGTAACAGCGCTTTAAACTCAGGAAGCAGCACTCGGTACTGTCCTGGACCTCCCCCTGGGTGCCGACTACATCACGGGGGATGAGGAAAGCTCCGAGGGGGAGAACAGGGCAACGGCGTGGCTCCCCGGGGCAAGGGGAGGGGGGATGCTGCAGCCAAGTGGGCTGAGACACGCACCGAGGTCCTGAGCTACTCACAGCTGGATGTCCAGGAAGAGCCGCTTCTCCTCGCCAACGTGCACCCTCCAGACGCAGTCCTCCCCCTCCGCGTAGGGCTCCGGCCAGTTGGGGGACAGGATCACCCCAGCCACGGCGGTCAGCTCCCCCCCACACATGGCTGCGGGAGCGAGAGGCAGGCAGGGCTCAGCCAGGGTCCCACGGGTGTTCGCGCCCGCTGCCCGGCATCGCCCCGCAGCACGGGGACTGACCTCGGCACAGCGGCTCCGTGTCGTTCCAGTACGGGTCCCGCATGTTGACGCACTCGATGACGGCGGGGCCCTGCTCCAGGGAGTGCCCGGGGTCGCACGTGAACTCCACGGTGGTGCCCAGGTTGTAGGTGGGGTCGGAGGTGGTGAAGTTCCCGTTCTGGATGTAGGGCTCGTAGCAGTGGCCCCGCTCAAAGGCTGGAAGAGAAAGCTCCCCGTTAGCCCGCGGGGCACGGAGCTGGCTGGGGGCAGCGCTGCCTTCCCCTGCTCCTCACACCCTCCGCTCCAGGGCTTTGCTAGGCGAGCCCCGGGCTCTGCCTCTGTCCCCAGCTAGACACCCTTCCCTCCATGCCCGCATGGCCTCTTCCACGGTGTATTTCACAGGCAATTAGGATTAACAAGAGTTTATCTGCCTTGAGCCACGCAGGCTTAACCAAACCCCACTTCCATTGTGTACCGGCATCAGTAACACACTCGCTGCGTCGCCCGTTGCTGTATTTGCTGAGCCATCTCCCCTGGGATTACTGTGCCTTATTGAGCTTGCTCGGAGGCACGGGGCTCCCGCGGGACCGATCCCGGCAGCAGGATGCACTTAAACGACGACTGGAGCAAATCCGTGTGAGCTGCCGGGGTTTGCCCAGCGCCCCGTCCCTGCCGCTGCCCGAAGGAGCTGCTGGTGGCTCTGGAGGACGGCAGCCCGGTGAGCAAGCGCTGCGGTGAGGGCAGGGTGAGGACAGCCCCCGGCCCCGCGGCTGACGTGGGCTCGGTACCCAGCACTGCCACGCTATGGGGACCGAGGGAAGGGGATAGACTGGGCCTTTGGTGGGGACGGTCACTGCAGGCTGTGTGATTCCCATGGCACCGATGGCCTTTTCAGCTCAGGTTTGGAGGGGCCCCATCCTGAACAAGGCACCCACTGCCCCGGGGCTGCCCCAGGGCAGCACAGGAGGTGAGTCCCACGGACACTCAGCTCACCCATGAACCTTTCTCTTGGAATAAATGACATTTAGTTATATCTTCTCCTAATTTTTGCTAGGCGAATGTATTGCCCAAAACTACTCCAGCCCCAGGCGAGGTTTGGGTTGCCCTGTGTGCCTGCAGTGATGCGGGGACAGTGGCACAGCGGAGCACCAGGTCTGCCGGTGGTGGGGGCAGCCGAGACCCTTTCTATGGCCATATCTCTGTTAATTGCCCAAATGTTCTGAAGCCTGGGAGCGCTGGCTGAGACCAGCCTGCTGCTCTTAGGGGTACCAAATTGAGAGCACGTCACCTTCGAAGCGTATGTTGAAAGCCGTGGCAGCCGCAGGCTCCTCCGCGAGGAATTCAATCCTGATGGAGGAGCCGTCGCTGATGACCCCTTCGAAGGGCACGCTGTCGGCGCGCAGCGAGTCGTAGAGGATGGCGGCCTGGTTCGTGTCCCCGCTGTACACCACCATCCTGCACGGGGGGGGACACGGCATGTTACATGGGAGAAGTGTCCCCACAATCCCCCCCAGAGCATCCCCCGGCCCCTCCGCCTCGCCAGCGCCCGCTCTCTGGTGCTCCCGGAATACGGCATTGTAAAGAAATTGTGCAAACAAAAATTCACCAACCAGATAACTCTCTTTTACTGTGTCATAAACAGGGGCTTTATTCTTTGATTTCACTACAAGCCATAAACCCGCTTTACTGCCTGTTACCAGACTGAATGTTAATGCTGTTTGAACAGGAGCACCAGCGCCGTACGTGTGCGCTTTGTGCCACGGATGCGGACAGCGTGGGATTTGCAGCTTCTTGCACCGCAGCGCTGAGCAGTGCCGGGCCTTGGCGGTTCGGGGGAAGGAAAAGGAGGGTGATGCACGCTGCATCACCCCACAGCCAGCGGGATCAGGGGACCAGCAAGATCACCCGGCACGAAGTACAGGGCCTGGGGATAGCGGGGGCTGGGGCTCTGCGCCTGCCTCTCGCAGCTCTTTTGGCTCGAAGACCTGTCTCGCCTCCTGACTGCTCGAACAGCTGAATCAGGAACTTCCTTTTCTGCACCAGGATTTTTCCCTGACCCCGTCCCCAGCGCGCTGGCAGCCTCCTCCGTGCTGCTGCCTGCCGGGACGCCCGCGCTCCGGGCACCGGGAGGGCAGGAGGTGCGAAGCGGAGGAGCTGAGACCATCTGGGAGCTTCCAAGCTTTGGTACGTGTAGCGCCCATCAAAGCGCCCTGCTCCTCACCCCGGGCAGAGCAAAGCTCGCCGCAGTGCCGGGGGTGCCGGGAAGCGGGCTCAGCGCGGAGCTCGCCGCCGGGCAGCGGTGCCGGGGCGCAGCAGGGGGTCCCCGCG